GGGGCGGTGGGAGGGACTCAGGCCGTGGTGCCTGCTTCACAGAAAGTCCGCAGACGTGTCCGCAGTGCGTACACTGTCCACGCACGTCAGGAAACCTACCTTTCTTCGCTGCGGCGATAATTCTGGGATTCAGGTCCAACTGATCCAAATCCATTTCTTCAGGGCGCTGACCACAAAGACGAACGATTTCCCAGGGACGCGGATTCTAGGCGCTGGCGTCCGTCAGACGGTCCAGCGGCCCTTCGCGACAGGTCAGCCAGCCCCCGGGTTGGAGACAGCACTCGGCGGGGACCCCACAGGGCAAGGCTACGGCAACACCTGTCGGGGCCGCCATCTGGTAACGGAAACCCTGGCACGGAAGAAACCCCCGATTTCCTGTCACCAGGGCACCCGCTGTCCTGGCCCCGCCCCACCTCCCCATCGAGGACCACGCGCAGACCCACGCGCACTGGGCTCACTCAAGTGACGTGTCTTTCGTATCCTCCGCCTTAATTTCCCTTGAACGTGTTTCCATGGGGAACCTGCAGAGAGCGGGAAAGTGTTTGGGATCTTGCAGGACGCTCGGGGCTGGTGGGTGCGGAGCTTGCGTGACCACCAGGCTGTCTCAGCGGAGACCGGGGCGGCTGTGCCCCGGCCGGGCCTCCCGGGCCTGAGCACTAGCCGCACGGGGATAGGAGCCCAGCCCACTGGCGGCCACTCAGCCAGGGTCATCCTCAAGCCACTGTCTCCTCACGGCCCCCCAAAGCAGCGGGTGCGGGACACCAGGCCTGCAGCACTGGGCCAGGGCCAGCGTCGCTGTCCACCAGGAGGCCCGTGTCTGGCTGAGGGGACGGCCAGTCTAGGGTGCCACGCCCACTGGGACATGGGCTGTTCTCCACACTCGCACATCCGGTCAGGGAGACACAGGTCTGGTGCTGGGGCGGGTCCTCATGCCCAGGACGGGCTGGGCTCCAGCTGGCACCGGGCTCCGGGCCCCAGGGGTTCAGGCCAGTAGGCGGGTCCCACATTCTGCCTGGCTCAGGGGGCAGGGGTGGGCTGTCTGGGCAGGGCTGGCAGTAAACACACAAAGGTGCCGCCTCTTCCTGGCGCCCTGCAGGTTGGAGCGGAGAGTGGCTCCCCCGCTGGAGGGCGGTCACCGCATGCAGGGCCTGTGCCAGCTGCGATGGGGATTCTGAGGAGCCTGAAGCTGGTGCGGTTAGATTTCTCAGGGCCGCAAAGGATGTGCGGTGCCCTCACCTGGCTGGGCAGGGAGACCATCTTCAGAATCCTGGAGCCCGGGGACAAGGACAGGCGGGAAGGGTGACCACCCCAAGCACCGCCTCCAGGGCCAAGAGCACCTGGACACAACACCGTTTGCTTTCAACTTTCACCTCCGGAGACCGTGCCGGCTCTTCCCCGGCCTCGGGGACGCCCCTGGGCAGCCCTGGGCGGAGGGCACAGCGACAGGCCAGGCTGGGGGCTGCGCCGCAGGGAGAGTGGCCGGTGAGGGAGGCTCCGGCTGAGAGCACCTGGGGCCTGTGCGGACAGAGCCAGGGAAGCTGGTAGAGGCTGCGCCTCCAGGAGGGGCCTGAATACAAAACTCGGATTCCAAACAGGCCCCCGGAGACTGTGCCCACTGACAGGCACCTACAGTACCAGACACTGGACAGCCAGCCCCGGGCCCAGGATCTGCACAGGAGCGCCCCCAGGCGGGACAGACGGGCAGCTTCCCGGGGCACCTGAGTTCAGCCACTTAGGGGACCAGTTAACAGACCCGCACTGAGCGGGCATGAAGGAGCTACAGGGAAAGCAACGCGTAGCTGAGGATCAAACAGGAGGCATTCAGGAAACCGGTTCCGCCTGGAGCTTCCCTTGGGGAGTCCTGTGTCTTCGGGGCTCTCAGGGCGCAGGCCTGGGTCCCGCACCAACACCCCACACCGGCTGGAGAGCTCAGAGCTGCAGAGGGGACTCCTGCCTCGGGCAGCAGGACTCTGGTTTCAAGGGCCTGAACTTGACTTGTGATACAGAACTAAAGGAAGGATCGTCAAGACCTTCCAACACTAGCATCGCAGTAACTGGTCTGTTGCTCCAGGGACTGTTCTAAGCCCCTGACGCGAAGGACCCCCACGCACACCTGCAGCAGCGCTGCTGCCCACTCCCTGCTGCCGACCAGAGAGCAGACGCGCGGTGGCGAAGTGACGAGCTGGGGCCACACAGCCAGCAAGTGGCTGCCCTGGGGCTGGGCTCCAGGCTGCGTGCCCTCAGCCCTGGGCCAGTATTAGCCGGACCCCAGCCCACATGGCCTCCTGCTAACCCAGCGGGCACTGACCTCTGCCCGCTCTGCAAACCTAGGCACCCCGAGGCCGACCTGCTTAGGGGCCCAGCCCCGTCGGGGCAGCCCACTCGAGGCTGGTCATCGTTCCCAGCCCCCCACCCCCCAGCGAGGGCTCTCAGGGTCCGCGGTGGCCACCCCTCCCCCACGCTGGGGCCCCTGGGCCTCCTCCTTCTTGAGCACTGCCCCATTCTCCCGTGACCCCCGACCCGGGCGTCCACAGGGCCCTCCTGATGGCCCCGCCTCCCCACCGCGCACCTGTTCTCCCCACTGCGCACCCCCTCGCGGTGGCTGTCCACCCACCACCCTTGACCCCACGCCGTCTCTACCTCTAAAGCACCCCCACTTCACGCGGTCCGGGCTCACCTCTCACCCCACGAGTCCTGGACAGGGGCTG